TGGGGGTGTGGTATCGGGAGCTGTGGATGTCTGCGGGGGGGGGGGTGTTCAGTTTTACAATACAGTAGCAGCAATAATTATGTTGCCATACTGGAACAATTATCAGTATAACAGGTGTGTTTTAAGAATCAGAACTGAGGAGATTAACAAAACTCTTGTTCACGCTTGGTTTTATTGTTATTTTTCTGTTACTCTAGTGTAATCTATCTTGTGTATGGAGTTTACTGTTTTTTATAAATTGTATTATGTCGTTTAATTAATGCAAGGTGACCTCGAGTGTGCTGAATTGCGACAATAAATAAATAAACAATAATAATAACAATAATAATAATTATTATTAATGGTAGTTTGTCTCCTGGAATATAGTATATTATAGTGTATAGCATCTACCTGCAACGTAAGCGGGTCTTGCTTTAATAAAGAATGAAGCTTTACATCTTTTCATATTGTAGCGGTCCGTGTAGCCACATAAAAACATAATGACCTATTGGTAATGCTGAACGAAATTTCTTCCGCCTGGGACACCAGTGCTGTACTGAACTTAGACTGCCTCTAGTGGAATTCCTACAATATTTCCTGAATGTCTAATTACTTGTCAAATGATAGGATATTTTACAAATGTATCACACGAAAAACTTTTACAAACATCTTACCCTTTCATCTTATAGGTTCTAAAACAGTCTCAATGCCTACATTTAAAAATTAATGAGCTTGCTGCATTGTTATTTCGGGTAACGTGTAAACCACCGCGAAGGTAGGCTATTTCTTCTCATCTAGCTGTTGCCTATTAATAAACAATGTAGTTATGCTCTCTTGTCACCTTCGGCCTATCGCTCCAGTTAAGTATGATTATACGATTATACGATTATACTACGATTAATCCCAACCCCCCCAATCTGCCAAAGTATCTGTGCCCCTCTGTCGATTTGTGCCGCACGTCTATATTTTAATTACATAATTTGCGTTTTATATTATTGATTACGATAATCATCTACCTGAATTACGTTTGAAACCACCAAATTGTTTAATGTGACATGGAGACACAGGAAATGAGGAATCTAACAAAAGCTAAGTGTCCAATGTGACGACGCACAACGGGGTAAACAGGGTAAACTGGTTCTTTCTGGGCGGCGTCGCCACCAGCGCGGACGGTATCTGGGAGGTGCGAGCGTCAAGACGCGGAAATAACCCCACATAAACGTCAGGGTTGTTAGGCGACATTCTACAAGAAAGGAAAACGAGTCTCGGAGCTAATAGGTAACGCAGAAGTGATTCTCGCTTGAATAAGGACAGGCTTCCCCGACGCCGATTACACTAGACTGAGAGATGGCGTTACAGGTGTGTTTGTGGTGCCTGCTGCTCGCGGCAGCCCTGAGCGCTCGCGGAAATGTTCGCAGCGAATCATGTTCGGATTCCATCGACATCGTATTCGATCAAGGACTCGATCCGCAGTCGTACGAAAACGGGGCGAACTTCACGAAGCGACTGGAAAACGCTTCGGACATCGACGCTTGCGGGAAGGCGTGCTGCGACTCGGAGGACTGTCACCTGGCGCTGGAGGGGGACCTGCAGGACGGGCTGGTCGAGTGTTTCCTGGTGAACTGCTTCAAAGACGGGGAGAATAAGTGCCGGTTAACGGACCGCGAGGGGTCCAAGATGTACAAGAGGGGGGACGCCATGCCGAAAGCCGGCTCCGACGCAGGTAAAGGTAACGAGTGACTCAGTGTTTCCTAAACACACGGAAATGGCTCAATAGTACAATAGCCGCATCACAATCTACCCAGGAGCAAACGTGGGGTCAGAAAACCAGGTTTTCGGGTGAAACTCACCTCAATTTTTACCTTTTTCAATTAACAGGGTTCAAAGTGTATTGTAACATCAGTTATTTGATTAATAATTCGGACCAGGAACTGAAATACCGCCCCCAGTCCCAGTTGCATTTAGTAACGCATTACTTTTAAAAAGTGGGGTGGAGTGGGGGGGCTCATTGATGTTTCCTCCCGGATATCTACACGGTTCTTTACCATTTTGGGTGGTTTTGAAGTTTTAGCTAGACTTAACATTTCAAAAGTTAGATTTGATCCAAACTAACAATGTGCGTCACTGGAAATGATATGTACCCGTGTCTTTATTTTTTAAAGCTTTCTTGCCAGGGAGTCCCGCAGCATTGTGGACGCAGGGATACTAGTGCTTACAGTTGTTTTAATAAGTGAGCTTAAAACTTATTCATGCGCAGTGCTGCTATTCATGTTATGTGGCTTTAGTTCTCGTTTTACTAGTTGAATTGTTTAACCATTTCTGTTTTGGAGAATGACTAAATCTCCCAAATCCCTTAAATAAAGCACATGATGTGTACTTTGTGGACGCCCGCATTTCTGGAAGTCCATTAGTGCTAAATTTTGCGGTCAAGTCCATTGTATAGTATCATTGGGAATTGACAAGTTTTAATTTCATGTCTGTTTTAGTAAGTATATGCATACATCCGTTTTAAAAACCTGAAATGAAAATTGTGGCAGATACCATGGTGTAGTACCCTGCCGTTCCTTTAAATGTGCCGGTGTTCAGACAAGTTCAGCTACCTATCGAGGCTTTCTGCGCATGTGCAGTTCCACCGTTTTGAGGTTAGGTTTCAGGGGTTTCGGGTGTTTTTGGGGGGGTTAGGGATATCGATTTAGCACTACGGCAGCCTACCTCGACAAAGTAGCTCAACTCGACGGAACACCGGCCTTTGTCTACAGATGGCCTGTTGAGCTTGCTTTTGTGGTGCTGCGCTACCCAGCCTACAGACGATACAGAGCATAATCAAAAAGTCTGCATGAAAACCCCCGCAATGGACTAATAAAATCTTTAACATGTGCTTTAACAGAGCTGTTCACTTCATATTCATTTAGAAACCTGTATTATTAAATTGTCTGACAATGTCAAACATTTTAGTTTAATAATGGAGACTGCTGTGGGTAGTCAGCAAACAGTGATGGCTTGAATGAACTAAAAACCTTTGATGCAGGAAAAAGAAACTGTTTGCCTTCCGATTATTTTGAACATAAGTAGTTGCCAGAAAGGAACCTTTAAAAAAAAAAAATCATGCGAGTATAACCTCTTTTGTCCTTCACACTCTTCTGTTTAATTTAACAGCAGTGTTACTGTTAGTATTGGGTGTTGAATTGCTGTCTTTTTTTTTTTTTTTTGCAAACTAATAAGCAGTTGAAAATACACAATATTGCCAGCTTTCAACCATTCAGGTTTCAAATAACCTTGTAAATGAAATTAATGTATGATTGTCCCACATGACGGTCAGGAGAATTGTGAGCCTCCAAACACTTGGTGCTATGAATTAACGTGTGTATTGGAGTGAGAGAGGGAGTGCACACACGTGTGAGTGAGATGATTACTTGGCTGCCACATGGCATAAAAGCAAACATTGAACATTTTATACATATGTACAAATCCTTTGTATCTTTCAAAAGAAATGCTTTTTCACATTCATGTAAAAAAAAGTCAGACTTCCTCTTTAAATGCTGTGCATATGATACATAGGTCAAAAGCAATACTTTACATTGGTGTCTCTAGTCATGTCCAACGCTCTCAAACAAAGCTGCAAAAGTCCCTTATGTCTAAACCCCTTAGGTGAACAGAGGCTTTGTTCCTTAACCGTGAATGTGATGTATGTCTATTTTTTGAGTATCCAATGTAACTGCACACCTCGTTAACTTGGAAGCTATTGTGAGCTGACAGGAGACATTAAGGAACTTATGTTGAGGTTTGATTACATTGGTTTTACTTCTCTAACACACTGTTTTGTAAGAACTTTGCCACAGACATTTTAAAGAATCCATAATCTTGTTAGTTGCTTGCTTGAATTCAGCAAGGCCCTTAAGCCCTGCATTGTCTAACCCCGCCTGATGATCCTCTGTTATGCGTTACTTTGGACAAAGGTATCTGGCAAATTTAAACATGGAAGTGATGTAAATCATATCAAGTAGATTGTTCTTCATGGGGAAAACGTCACACTTCCGTGATTAGCCTTGATTGTTCATATCCCATCAGAACCCAGAGTCCTACATGTGGTACCATAATGTGGTACCATAATGTGGTACCATAATGTGGTACCATAATGTGGTACCATAATGTGGTACCATAATGTGGTACCATAATGTGGTACTTTTTTGCCCTTGGCCATTACGAACTTTTTAGTTAAAGTGCCTTTAGAAGCAGCATGTTCGTTTGTTGTTGGAAGAAGGATACTGGCTTCTTAGCTGTGTTCTGTGAATGCTTGTGACTTGCTGGTCTGCTTCCTCTTTGACACACACAGCTAGTCTAAGCATTTTAATGCACTTTATCCATTCTTTCCATGTCTGAAGTTGCATCATTATGCATTAATTACATTACCAGGGAAACCATTGGCAGGTGACAGTGCAATCTAATACTGTGTGTGTTTAATGAAGGAATTTTTAATATTAGCAGTTTTGTAATCTCATGCGTTATATGTAGAAAACTACTTGTCATCAAGGTGTTAAGCTACAGGTCTTAACCGGCTGACTATGAATCTTTCCAGAAACTTCATCTTATTATAAGATGATTTTGAACTGCCTTTGAAATGGTGGTTAAATCTTATAACTACAGGTCAATAGACTTGGTTAACCATTAATAGGCAGTAGTGACTGAGGACTGTATAGCTTCACATTTAAAGATGAAGGAGAAGATGTATGTCACCATGGGGGAGAAACCGCTTTGGTTTTTAATATTTTCTTAGTGCTTGATGGGTGTTTGATTTTTTTTTTTTTTTTTTTTTGATAATGGTAAAGCCTAGTTTTAGTAAGGAAGCCAGGTTAAGAGAGAGAAGTTTGGTGTATATATACATTTTAGTCAAATTTTATAAAATTTCTGAAAATTCCCAAATTGAAAATGACAGCTGGCATTAAAAATGTACTTATTGCCGTGAGAAACTTCAGACATTTTGATTGTTTAGACAGTACATAGCTTCATACAGTACAGCATAAAAACCTGGGAGTGCTATGTTTCTTCAGAGTAGTTTGTTGTGGTTTAAGCAGACTGGTGTAATTGGTTTAGTGGATAAACCTGTTTTTCCTCCATTCTTTCAGCAAGCAACACCCTTTTCTATGACCTTTCAGTAATGCATTGCTTCCTTTTTATATGAGATTTTTCTTTTATAATTAATCATATGTTGCTCATTTTTACTGATGTGGCATTTAACCCTGCTTAGTTTTATATATCTAAAAAAGATTTAGGGGTATTTTAAAACAAAATGTTGCACACCTAATACCTCTTGTACATTCCAAGAGATGATATTGCCTCACATTTTTGTTTTTCTCAAATGTCTTTCTCTTCCAAACAAATGCAAACATCCTGCTGCTGTTTTTTTCCCCCCCTCCCTGTCTTGCCAGTTCAGAGCTTATCCAGTCTAATCTCATCTCGTTTCAGTGACGTGAATTTGTCATTCTTTTAATTTGAAATATTTAGACATTTTTGCAGGCGGACTCTCTCGCCAGTTCATTTTGCTGTTCATCTGTGAAAATGACAGCTCACCTCTTCTACATTTACTTTGTAGAGCTTTTAAATCTTGCGTTGTGAAACCTTCATGTCAAAGTTTCCCTTTCGATGTTTCCCCAGCTACCACTGTGGGATCTACTCTGCCTGTGATGTCAACAAGTGAATTTGCAGGCAAGTTTACTGTTGTGTCTGTATTTGGTATAGAATGGTATTTGGTATAGAATGGTAGAAATATTTCCAACTGTCCCTTTAAGTCGCTCCTTTTTAATTTTAATGTATGGTTGTCTTTCTGGATATCACCTCTTGTGATAGTGATTTCAGATTCCCACTGTTTCACTTGCTTTTTCTTGTGTCTGTTACTTCCACATCTTTATGTTCTTTGTTTTCCTGCAATTTTCTAGAAAAGTGTGAGGCCCCACCATTGACTGGCATGTGCCGTGCTGCCCTGCCGCGTTATCACTACGTTAGTTCTACCAGCACATGCCAACCCTTTATCTATGGCGGATGCGGGGGTAACAAAAACAACTACGCCAGCGTGGAGCAATGCAAGGCAACCTGCACAGGTACCTGGTCCTGCCGTTACCCTCCCGAGCTTATCCGTCTGATCAGCAACATTAAATACAAACGAATGAAGCCTAGTAGCACAGGTCACGAGACTCGGGAGCCCAGGGCATTGTAGGACACGAGTGGCCATATGGGGAGTCCACTTCAAATAAGTGTTTTTTTTTTTTCTTTTTCTTTTGCTATGGGAAGAACCCTATACAGATCCAAGGAACACGTAGAGAAAACCTACCGCTAATCTCAAACTCAGTGCTCTGTTTCACAAGACCGCTTAAAAAAAAAAAAAAAAAAAAAAACTCTTCCTTGTTCTCCATTCTTTTCAGTAACTGTGATTACTGGTCCCTCAAATGTTGCACAAACGCCGTCCTCTAAACCAAAAGGTAGGAAAGATTCCTTGATTATTGTAGCAGTTTGATTGCCTTGCTGACTTCAGGATCACAAAGAATTTTTTTTTTACATGTTGTTACCTGTACAAAGGCAGTCTGTCTCTCTCTCTCCTTGTGACACTCCCAGGCTTGGATGCTTGTTCAGCACCCTTTGAGTCTGGTCCCTGTCGCGCTGCCTTCCCCAAGTTTTACTTTGACCCCAGTGCTGGAAGGTGCCTTCCGTTTATCTATGGAGGTTGTTTAGGCAACGATAACAGGTACAACACCCTGGAAGACTGCATGTCCAGATGTACTGGACAGGAAGGTAAGACCGGATAAGGGAGAGTTTTATATAATTGATATAGTATTTGGGTAACGGGTTTCCTTCTGCCAAATGAATTATCAGAAGAAGAGACTGATGAATACTATTCTGTTTTAAATTAGAAAGTCATTAATTCTAGTAACATTTTTCACTTTAACAGAAGTTCACTTTGCTGTTTACAAAGGAATTTAGTAGTGTAATTTACCTTGCAGGGAAACTTGATCAATTTTTCCACCATGTTGCTCCACCAAGTGCAGGTAAGTAGGGATTAGGTAGTTATTTTGTGAAGGGTCTTATGCGACACCTAAGAAAATGGGCATTGGTAGGGCGTGTGGGGGGTGGGGGGGTGGGAGTGTTTGCAATTTTACCAAACAGATTTTGTGAGGATTGGTTACTTTCCTGTTCATTGCAAGCAGTCATGGACAGTGGTGCTTCATGAACCATTTGCTATATCTTTTTACTCCACTAGATGGTGCTCTCTGTTCAAAAAAGGGCACAAAGCATGACCCACAGCAAACCAAGAGCACCATCTAGCACCAAATACAGCAAATGGTTCATGAAATATCAATTTGCCCATCACTAGTTGCAAGTATTTATTAGAACATGTTGAAATCTAAGGAAAACACTTCTTGAATGCCAAGTTGCTGTAGTGTCCAGCAGTAAAGTTAACTTCTTTTTTTCTTTTCTTTTTTCTTTCCTTAGCTTTTTTCCTGGTGGCCACCCTGGCTGTCATCTCCATTGTGCTCTTGGTGGGCCTGGTCCTGCTCTTAGTGCGGAGGGCCAGGACTCGCCGCTCTGTACATGATGACAAGGAGGAGTTGCTGGCTGAGGTGTCAGAACCCATCGTTGAAATGAAATAAATGTATTTCTGATACAATTATTTCATGGGAAGCAAACCCTTCAGTGCATTTCTTGACATTAACACTAAAATCAGCAACAAATTTACATTAGCACATTATATTACAGTGCATTAGCTCCTTTGAAACAAATTATGGAGTGTAATACTTTTGCTTAGGAGTGTTAAATAGTATAACCTGTCCTGTTTCACTGATGCAGAAAGCAAAATACTGAATTTCCTTAAAACATTTAGTAAAGTAAATGATTTCAAAATTATATCTACCTGTGATTCCTTTTGCACATCGTTTTTCGTCTAGAGGCACATCGAATCCAAACATTGGTACATTATGCTAGTCATTACATCCCTGCTTTGTGGCTTGTCAGTAACAGTCAATGGAGTTGCAACAGTGGAAAAGAGAGAATGCTGGTGCTGCTGAATTGAGTCCTGCTAGGTGTAGCTCTTCAAAGAAAAGTTTGTAGTGCCGTTAATATTTACACGTTGATTGATACACGTTGATTGATACACGTTGATCCAGTCTGCTAGCAATTTTTTTTAAGCCTGTTCTAATTCCGAAAGAAACCCTAAAGTTTAGGAAAGGAGACCATGAGACATTTCCTGATCGATTTTACAAATTCACTGAATTAAGTATGACCGAAAAGGTTATCCCCATTGAAATGCTTTAGAGAAATGTGCACGTGATTTCTAAATTTCTCAACTTCTTGGCTGGGGTAGACCTTTATCATGTTATTCATGCTTCTTCTATCTGACCTCAACATTTATCAAGACAATACATTTGTGTATAAGCAAGCTCTGCACAGTGTATTAATGGAATTATTGTACTCTTAATAATGAATATTATTCATGTTACTTTCAGCACCATTTTGGAAATTATGGTATATTTTCTTATAGGTAACTTAGGGCTGATTTCTATGTTCCTCGGATGTTTATACGTTTTATTGAAGGGAAATGTTTTTTAGATTCAAATTTTAAACTTTTGGTATATTTAGTGCCTTCATATTTATGGTTGCTTTAAAATGGTCCAGTGGGATTTTCTTTTACCAAAGAGCTCTAGAAGAGATGCAGTTACTTTTAAAATATGGAACTGATCAATAGGTAACGTGCACTGGTTTAATTATCAAAGAAATATACACTGAAATGTTTTTAAATTGCTTGTAAAATTGCTTATTTTGGCTCATTACTCGAGTCGTTTTCAATAAAGTAACCGAAATATGCTTTGGGTTTGGTTGTTTTTAAAAGTCAAAATTCTTTAGAAATCAGTCGCATAACTCTCACCACTAGAGGGCAACAGTTAACGTGCAAAAAAAACCTGCGGTATCCCACCAAGAATAATGCTTATTAAATGACATAAGAATAATGCTGATGTTTACAGAACTTACAACCTATTCATACGCAATGTTGGCATTCATGTTATGTGGCTTTAGTTCATTTTTACGAGTTGAATTGTTAAACCATTTCTGTTTTGGAAAATTACTAAATCTCCCAAATCCCTTAAATAAAGCACATGATGTGGACGCCCGCATTTGTGGAAGTCATTAGTGCTGGACTTGGCGGCCAAATCCATAATTATAGTATCATTGGGAATTGACAAATTTTAGTTTCATCTCTGTTTTTTGTAAGTATATGCATACATCAGTTTTAAAAACCTCTGAATGAAACCATGGTGTAGTACCCTGCCGTTCCTTTAAATGTGCCGGTGTTCAGACAAGTTCAGCTACCTATCGGGGCTTTCTGCGCATGTGCAGTTCCACCGTTTTGAGGTTAGGTTTCAGGGGTTTCGGGTGTTTTTGGGGGGGGGTTAGGGTTAGGGATATCGATTTAGCACTACGGCAGCCTACCTCGACAAAGTAGCTCAACTCGACGGAACACCGGCCTTTGTCTACAGATGGCCTGTTGAGCTTGCTTTTGTGGTGCTGCGCTACCCAGCCTACAGGCAATACAGAGCATAATCAAAAAGTCTATATGACAACCTCAGTAATGGACTAATAAAATCTTTAACAGAGCTGTTCACTTCATATTTCATATTCATTTAGAAACCTGTATTAAATTGACAATGTCAAACATTTTAGTTTAATAATGGAGACTGCTGTGGGCAGTCAGCAAACAGTGATGGCTTGAATGAACTAAAAACCTTTGATGCAGGCAAAAGAAACTGTTTGCCTTCCGATTATTTTGAACATAAGTAGTTGCCAGAAAACCTTTTAAAACAAATCATGTGAGTATAACCTCTTTTGTCCTTCACACTCTTCTGTTTAATTTAACAGCAGTGTTACTGTTAGTATTGCTTGTTGAATTGTGAGCCTCCAAACACTTGGTGCTATGAATTAACACGTGTGTCAGAGAGTGAGAGTGAGAGAGAGAGTGCACACACGCATGAGTGAGATGATTAACCTTTGCTGCCACATGGCATAAAAGCAAACATTGAACATTTTATACATATGTACAAATCCTTTTTTTGTGTTTTTTTTAAGGAAATGCTTTGACATTTTCACATTATCATGTAAAAAAATCTCAGCCATTATCTTTAAATGATGTGTCTATGATACACAAGTCAGAAGCATTACTTTACATTGGTGTCTCTAGTCCTGTCCAATGCTCTCAAACAAAGCTGCAAAAGTCCCTTATGTCTAAACCCCTTAGGTGAACAGAGGCTTTGTTCCTTAACCGTGNCTCGACAAAGTAGCTCAACTCGACGGAACACCGGCCTTTGTCTACAGATGGCCTGTTGAGCTTGCTTTTGTGGTGCTGCGCTACCCAGCCTACAGACGATACAGAGCATAATCAAAAAGTCTGCATGAAAACCCCCGCAATGGACTAATAAAATCTTTAACATGTGCTTTAACAGAGCTGTTCACTTCATATTCATTTAGAAACCTGTATTATTAAATTGTCTGACAATGTCAAACATTTTAGTTTAATAATGGAGACTGCTGTGGGTAGTCAGCAAACAGTGATGGCTTGAATGAACTAAAAACCTTTGATGCAGGAAAAAGAAACTGTTTGCCTTCCGATTATTTTGAACATAAGTAGTTGCCAGAAAGGAACCTTTAAAAAAAAAAAATCATGCGAGTATAACCTCTTTTGTCCTTCACACTCTTCTGTTTAATTTAACAGCAGTGTTACTGTTAGTATTGGGTGTTGAATTGCTGTCTTTTTTTTTTTTTTTTGCAAACTAATAAGCAGTTGAAAATACACAATATTGCCAGCTTTCAACCATTCAGGTTTCAAATAACCTTGTAAATGAAATTAATGTATGATTGTCCCACATGACGGTCAGGAGAATTGTGAGCCTCCAAACACTTGGTGCTATGAATTAACGTGTGTATTGGAGTGAGAGAGGGAGTGCACACACGTGTGAGTGAGATGATTACTTGGCTGCCACATGGCATAAAAGCAAACATTGAACATTTTATACATATGTACAAATCCTTTGTATCTTTCAAAAGAAATGCTTTTTCACATTCATGTAAAAAAAAGTCAGACTTCCTCTTTAAATGCTGTGCATATGATACATAGGTCAAAAGCAATACTTTACATTGGTGTCTCTAGTCATGTCCAACGCTCTCAAACAAAGCTGCAAAAGTCCCTTATGTCTAAACCCCTTAGGTGAACAGAGGCTTTGTTCCTTAACCGTGAATGTGATGTATGTCTATTTTTTGAGTATCCAATGTAACTGCACACCTCGTTAACTTGGAAGCTATTGTGAGCTGACAGGAGACATTAAGGAACTTATTTTGAGGTTTGATTACATTGTTTTTACTTCTCTAACACACTGTTTTGTAAGAACTTTGCCACAGACATTTTAAAGAATCCATAATCTTGTTAGTTGCTTGCTTGAATTCAGCAAGGCCCTTAAGCCCTGCATTGTCTAACCCCGCCTGATGATCCTCTGTTATTTGTTACTTTGGGCAAAAGTATCTGCCAAATTTAAACATGGAAGTGATGTAAATCATATCAGGTATATTGTTCTTCATGGGGAAAACGTCACACTTCTGTGATTAGCTTTGTACATATTCTCTCCGGTAAGATGACCATCTTCCCCTGCTACCGGGGGAACTTCATAAACTATGCATTTCGCTGGTGGCACTGTCTGAGGTACACAGACTGGGGTTGTGGCTAGATCTCTGTAGGTAGGTATACTTACTTTTGGTCTGGTCAGTCCAATGGCTGCCATACTCAGTGAGTAGCTGTTGCTGTAGTGGATCGGCTTCTCCTGATGGTGTGTGATGTCACTACTTTTAATGAGCGTATTATTGGAGCTAAGGCACTCCTTAAGAACATAAGAACGTAAGTTTACAAACGAGAGGAGGCCTTTTGGCCCATCAAGCTCGTTTGGGGAGAACTTAACTAATAGCTCAGAGTTGTTAAATCAGAGCTAGATAAGATTTTAAAGGAACCCAGGGTTTTAACTTGCACTACGCTAGTAGGAAGACTATTCCATGCTCTAACTACACGCTGTGTAAAGAAGTGCTTTCTCAAATTCAGTTTAAAATGTTCTCCTGCTAATTTCCACCTATGACCACAAGTTCTAATATTTAAACTAATATTAAAGTAACCATTTGGCTGAACAGCACCCAGACCTGTTAGAATCTTATATTCCTGGATCATGTCCCTCCTTAATCTCCTTTGCACGAGGCTGAACAGATTCAGCTCAGCCAACCTCTCATCATAAGACATTCCTCTAAAACCAGGAATCATTCTTGTAGCCCTACGTTGAACCTTTTCCAAGTCAGCAATGTCCTTCTTAAAGTATGCTGACCAAACCTGCACACAATATTCTAGGTGGGGTCTTACCAAGGAATTGTATAATCGTAGCATCACCTCCCTTGACTTACATCTCTAGGTGTATGGAGTTTAACGCAACATCCTATTGGCCTTTTTTATTGCTTCCCCACACTGGAGAGAGTGGAACATGGAAGCATCAACATACACACCGAGGTCTTTCTCATAATCAGCTACAAACATAAGGATCCAGCGACCAGCAGCCCCTGACTTTTTTTGCAGTCAAGCAACATGGAGCCACTCTCAACCTGGTCTCCAGACCCACGGGGACTGACACAATCCTCATAGTCAGCCCTGTCAGTGCCAGTGGTCCCATTGAAGTCACCCATGACCAGAGGAGTCTTACCTCGTAGGCACCCATCAACCACCGAGTGAAATCGCGAGTAAAATGTCTCCCTCATGAGACATTAGTCGCCGCGGTCACACCATACACTGAGACAACAGAAAAGACACCCGAAATAGCTTTTTTTGACTGTCATTACTCGAGTCATTTTCAATGAAGTAACCGAAATATGCAGTAATTGCCTTGGGTTTGATTGTTTAAAAATTGCAGTCGGACAAGAATTCTTTAGAAATCAATCACATAACTGTTTCACCTCTAGAGGGCAACAGCTAATGTGCAAAAAAACCTAGAGTATACAACCAAATGTTAAGGCATTGTTACTTTCTCACAAAAATAACTACAGAAACTTGTTGCAGCTTATATGTTGAAAACGCTATTTCTGAGCTTGGGAGAATTTTTGTGTCCCCCCCATCAAACGCTGCTGTATCTTTAAATGGCATTCTCGTACCTTTTTTTGTTGATTGTAATGTATTTCAGTTTAAAATAAAACAAGCTAGCTGACTTCTTTGTGCTATGGATCATGACGATTGCTAGTGTTACAAAAATACATAATGCGTTTCTTTTTCTCCGAAAAAAATTTTGTACGTGATTTGGAATGCTTGGAATATATCTGAGGTTTTACTTCTGCTGGAGTAGTCATTTGTATAGGTACCGTACAAGCCGACGTGGAGTTCATAAATGCTGCAGTGTTTTTGCATTTTTCATTTCTTCAGTTTCAACATAACGCAGCATAACTCCCTCAGAATTTTGTGATACCTTCAGAAAAGAGACAGTTCCCTTGCTTTGCCAGCCATGTCTTGTTTTGAGTCCTTACAGTTATTGCCATAAATATCTCCAAATTGCCCCATCCTGGGTTATTTTCGGCCTTGTGCCGGTAGCTTCCAGGACAGGCTATGGACCCCTGCAACCCTGCATCAGACAAGCAGGTATGGAAAATGAGCCGACGGAATATCCCATGCTCCTTTGCAAAATAAGGCAAACAACAGCACTGGCAAGTCTTCCGTCTTTTGCATATAAGAACTCTCCGGATTTGGCACATTGAATTCTGAAATCAAGGACCTCAGCTCACTTCTCAGACATGAGAAGTCA